TCGAGTCTGCTGGGGAATCATAACAGTTCTGACAAGTACATATCATGTTTGACATCATCCAAAGAAACTTTTTATAAAGTTGTCAAACTTCCAAACAGAGCAAGAAGTTCACCTGCTGATTTAATTGGCTTATGCTCTTTTTTTTTTTTTTTTAAATCTCTCCATTTTTTTTAAAAAGGGGCTTTAAAAGATAATTTGGACAAATAACTTCTGTAGGTCTACCTGTGTAGACTCAGTAATTTTAGCAACACAATCAGTGCAGCTCGTAATGTGATCTGTATAAATGCTGAGACCTATAGCGTATTCATTATTTTAATAGCACTTATTGACGTAAGGTCAGAATTCTTTTTTCCAACTTTTTTTATTTAGGGAAGAGCCTTATGTCACAATCTCATGCTTCATCTAATTGGATAAGTGTTTCCTTTGTCCTTGAAACAGCAAAGTAGAATGCATACCCAAGAGCTATAGAATGGAAAAGCATCTGCCTTTTGTATTTGGCACGCCTCAATTAAAAACTCACTGCTTCTGCTATAATTTTTTGAATTCTGACCAGAGTACTTCTGCTGAGATTCAGACAGACAGTTTTGAAGGTTATGCTAGGGGTACTTAAAGAATTTTCTACAAAGTATATTGTTGTCTTGCACATAATAGAATAGGGTTCCTGATCCAGGAAAGTACTTGCGTATATGTTTAAAGCATTTAGTGAATAGTCATCTTGAAGTTAATGGAACTACTCAAATATGTGCTTTATTTTAAACTTCAGTACATATACACATTTAAGTCCAGTTCTAGCTATGGGAAGAATAAAGCTAATGTTCAATACAAGCATCACCTTCCACCTTAAATAAGGTATCTTGGGTAGATCCCTCAGATCTGCTTTATTTAGAAGCTATTTCATTGCTTCAGAGATGTAATGGGAAGGTTATATGCCCAGCCTTCAGAAAGTCAATACATACAACTGAAATGAAGCAGAAAATGGTAAAATACCAAATGATAACATGGCCAAAAAACCTGTTGAGTTTCTTTTAATCAAATACAAAAACTTTATTATCACACCCATTTTACAGGTACAAGGTAGAGAAATAAAAAGACAAGACTTTCATGAGATTTGGCAACTGTACTCACTACTTTAGGTGCTGCTGTTCTATTCCAACAGCTACACTATGGACTCTAGTTTGCAGTTGTGACCTATTCCCTTTTCCCATTATATCCATTTCTAAGCTCATTCCATAGGTCTAATTTACTTTGGGAATGCATACATTTATACCCTGGATAATGTTTCCCAGAATACTACTTGATCAAAATAGGTTAATTTCCTTGCTATTCTCCACTAAACAATTCTTCTTGCATTTATCTCAATCTGCTTTGCAAAAGATTGTGATCTTTGCTCTCAAATACAAACCTCAGCAGTTACTCATGCCAATGATACAAAACTGTGGGGGAGAAGTTGACACACCGGAGGCAGGGAACAACTACAGGCAGACCTGGACAGGTTGGACAGATGGGAAGAAAACAATAGAATGCAATTTAACAAGGATAAATGCAAAGTGCTGCAACTAGGGAGGAAAAATGTCCAGCACACCTACTGCCTAGGAAATGACCTGCTTGGTAGCATGGATGCGGAAAGAGATCTTGGAGTCCTAGTGGACTCCAAGATGAACATGAGCCGTCAGTGTGACGAAGTCATCAGAAAAGCTAACGGCACTTTATCGTGCATCAGCAGATGCATGACAAACAGAACCAAGGAGGTGATACTTCCCCTCTATCGGGCGCTGGTCAGACTACAGTTGCAGTACTGCATCCAGTTTTGGGCGCCACACTTCAAGAGGGATTTGGATAACCTGGAGAGGGTCCAGAGAAGGGCCACTTGTATGATTAAGGGCTTGTAGGCCAAGCCCTACAAGGAGAGACTAGGGTACCTGGACCCTTTCAGCCTCTGCAAGAGAAGGTTGAGAGGCAACCTTGTGGCTGCCTATAAATTCATCATGGGGGCGCAGAAGGGAATTGGTGAGGCTCTACTCACCAAGGCACCCCTGGGGGGTCACAAGAGATAATGGCCATAAGCTAGCAGAGAGCAGATTTAGATTGGACATTAGGAGGAACTTCTTCACAGTTAGAGTGGCCAAGGTCTGGAATTGGCTCCCAAGGGAGGTGGTGCTCTCCTCTACCCTGGGGGTCTTCAAGAGGAGGTTGGATGGGCATCTGGCTGGGGTCATCTGAACCCAGCACTCTTTCCTGTCTATGCAGGGGGTCAGACTCAATGATCTGTTGAGGTCCCTTCCGACCCTAGCATCTATGAAACTCCCTGACCTCCAGTATAGCTTAGTCATCCCTATATCACCTGCAGAATACCTTACCAGGGTTACAGCTGAAAAGCACTTGGAAACTTCAGGTTGCACAGAATAGGGCTGCATGCTTATAAAGTGACACTTTTCACTGCAAAAATGAGACTAATGTACCACAGCTGTTTCTGGATGCAATTTAAGCTGCTGGTTTATAGAGAAAATACTGCATTGTTTCTACCTTCACAGGGGACTGCTCCTGAGCTACCATGTGAAATGAGAGGGAAGTTGGGGCAAGTTATCTGGAACAAGTTATCTATACTGAAGTTCACTTCCCCAAGCTGGTTCATGAGTCAGCTGATCTTACTGATACGTGGTATAATTTACCATTTGCGCACAGGTTTTTGCCTGAAGTAAAACAGTCTGCAGGATTTCTGAATGACACTAAGATCATTCTTTCCTTGTGGCAGTAATTCATAGTTGCTCAATTGATTTTGAGTCAGTTATGTTAATTGTTTAAATTTGTCATCATGTAATGATGTGTACTGGTTCAGAATGCTTTTAGATTTTAATACGCAGATCATATATTTCCTCATCACCTTTAATTCTCTTCTGCATTGTTTCACTGCATGTCTAAAGTAACCACACTTCAGTAGATACACTTTAAAGAGATTTCTTTATCATTTAACTTTATTACAGTAGGCGCAGCCTGGACACTGTTAGAGTGACAAGGACTATTTCCTTAATTACTGTACATTGATAATAGCATTTACTCTGGCAGCTCCAGTGCTATTCAATCAAGTAAGATTCAATACAAAAAAGGCTGATTTGCCAAAAAAGAGATTAGCATAAGTGCCTACAGTCACATTCTATTTTTGAAGGTAAAGCTACTATATCTTGTGAGCACTTTTGTGGGATTTTTATGGAAAAAGATAAACTGCATTATTCTCCTCAGAGATTTCAGGAAATCGCATTTAGAGATGATTTTTAAACTAACCACATTTTTAAAGAAGATATAATCAAAAACATGTTAAAATAATTTATAAAAACTAGGTTTCAAAGTGTATGGCAGCAGAAGGGAAGCGTACTTACGGCTTTCTGTGGACATACACATCTGTTACGGAGCATTCTGCACTGCCCAATTTTGTTTTTCTGCACTTAGTCAATTGACCAAATAGTAACTGAAGCTGCTGCTCTTTAGAATTAAATGCCACTATTTACAGTAGCTCTTGTTCTAGTTAGAAATCCACACTTCAGCACTATATTTATTTGTAAGCATAAGATTAAATAATGGTGAACTGAAATGACTTCAGTTCATATCTTGACTTCAAAAAAGCCTTCGATCTGGTATCCCATGATCACCTCTTGGTAAAACTAGCCAACTGTGGCCTTGGGTCCACCATGATCCACTGGCTGGGAAATTGGCTCTGTGGTCGGACCCAGAGGGTTGTAATTGATGGCAGTCACTCATCATGGTGTCCTGTGACCAGTGGGGTCC